AATCCACTCACCTCAGCCTCCCAAAGGCACGGGATTACAGGCTGAGCCACCGAGCCTGGCTTGTCTTTCTCTTAAGCACTTTCTCTTGAAGGCACAAGTCAGTACAAGGGGTCTGACTCCGGGTTTAATGTTACTGGAAGTAGACAAGTGAGAAGAATAAGATTCTTAGTGAAGTTGGGACAGAATTTATTCTCTCATTAGCACTTTTTAAATATATTGACAAACGGGAGATTTTGTTATTGTTAAACACTTAGCTTTTTGCTGCCTTTTTGACCTTTTGTGCCTGAGTCAGGGTTGGAAAAGATCTTGGAGTGCCCTGCAGCCACTTAACAAATATAAGTGTTGCTTTCATTGAAGCGTAGTTATTTCTTTTCTTTTTTTGTTTTTTTTTGAGTTGGAGTCTCGCTCTGTCGCCCAGACTGGAGTGCAGTGGCCGCTCCTGGCCACTGCAGCCTCAACCCACCGGGCTGCGGCGATCCTTCCGCCTCAGCCTTCCAAGTAGCCGGAATTACGGGCGTGCGCTACCACGCCCGACTGATTTTTTGATTTATTGTAGAGATGAGGTCTTGCCAAGTTGGCCAGGTGGGTCTCAAACCCGCGGACCCAGGCAATCCACTCACCTCAGCCTCCCAAGGCGCGGGATTACAGGCTGAGCCACCGAGCCCGGCTGAAGGGTAGTTATTTCTAAGCTTTCTAATCTTACTATACTTCCATAGATATTTTATATGTAAGCTCTAGAATTTGCCCATAGCTTTTTAAAAAATGAACACTCATCTGAATGGTCACTCCTATCTTTAGCCGAAGATAAGACAGCACCAGTGTTTTAATCCCCTGCTCCATAAGCTTCTTGAAGTCAAAATTAGAGCCTGAGCTGATAGAGCAGAAAATCTCATTCTGGTTGTCCAGCATTTTTGTAAGGTTCCACCCCACAGCCATCTGGCCTGGCCAGTTCTCCAATTAAAGAGGCAAAGGTGGCATTATATGCTTCCTTATTTGTGCGGCAACATCACTGAGGTATAAATTGGTGTGCAGCTTTAGTTGCTTATGCTGCAGAAAATGGTTAGCTAGGCAGGGCTGATGACAGTGGTTCTATTGTATTTTGGGGTGGGAGGCTTATTTCCCAATGACTTTGGCCTACATTAAAATGCTCCCATTTTGAGGCTGAACTGTTCAGGGTGGTTAACTTGGAGGCAATTCTGCAGCAAAGTTTGAGGAGGCCTGGAAAGGTATAGAAGCCCGTTTCTCTGGGTGGATTACCAAGAGGCATATTCTAAGAATCTATGTGGTGCCTTGGGAGAGGTGTCATATATTGACTTCAGTCTGTTTTACTTTTCAGAAACACTTTGAAAACACTGTATTTTTTTTTTTTTGAGTTGGAGTCTCACTCTGTCGCCCAGACTGGAGTGCACTGGCCGCTCCCGGCCACCACAGCCTCGACCTGCTGGGCTCTGGCGATCCTTCTGCCTCAGTCTTCCAAGTAGCCGGAATCAAAGGCATGCGCTACCACGCCCGGTTGATTTTTTGATTTATTGTAGAGATGAGGTCTTGCTGCCCAGGTGGGTCTCGAACCCACAGGCTCAGGCAATCCACTCACCTCAGCCTCCCAAAGGCGCGGGATTATAGGCTGAGCCACTGAGCCCGGCTTTAATTCTTTTTGAGTTGGAGTCTCACTGTCACCCAGGTTGGAGTGCAGTGGCATACTCATGGCTACTGCAGCCTCGACCTGCTGGCCTCAGATAATCCTTCTACCTCAACCTTCCAAGTAGCTGGAACCACAGGCAAGCACCACCACGTCTGGCTAATTTTTAAAAATTTATTGCAGAAATGAGGTCTTCCAAGTTGCCCAGAATAGTCTCAAACCTCTGGTCTCAGGCAGTCCTCTCACCTCCACCTCCCAAAATGCTGGGATTACAAGTATGAACCACCTGCCCAGCTTACACTGTCTTTCTTTTTTTTTTGAGTGGAGTCTCTGTCACCCAGGCTGGAGCACAGTAGCACACTCACGGCCATCCCAGCGTTGAACTTCTGGGCTCTGTCGATCCTTCCACCTCAGCCTTCCAGGTAGCTGGAACTATAGGCACATGCTACCACGCCCAGCTAATTTTTTATTTATTGTAGAGATGAGGTTTCAAGGTCTCGCCAAGTTACACAGGCTGGTCTCGAACCCGCGGGCTCAGGCAATCCACTTGCCTCAGCCTCCCAAAGTTCTGGGGTTACAGGCTGAGCTGCTGAGCCCGGCCCTAACACTGTTTTTAACTCTCGGACCATTCTTGGGAACCAGTGTCAACTTTATTCACATTTTTTTTTGAGTCAGAGTCTTACTCTGTCGCCCAGGCTGGAGTGCAGTGGCATGGTCACGGCTACCGCAGCCTTGAACTACTGGGTTCAGACAATCCTTCCGCCTTGGCCTTCCAAATAGCTGGAACTACAGGCATTTGCCATCAGGCCTGGCTAATTTTTCTTGATTTATTGTAGAGATGATGTCTTGCCAAGTTGCCCAGGCTGGTCTCGAGCCCATGGGTTCAGGCGGTCCTCTCACCTCAGCCTCCCAAACTACTGGGATTTTAGGTGTGAGCCACCATACCCGGCCTCTTCACAACTTTTTAGTCTGTTCCATGTTGGGTGCCTCTATAGACCACTGTGGCCCTTTCAGAACTCCATTACTGAGAAGGGGCCCATAGTTCCTGTGACTAGCTTTGCATCTGGTAATGAGCCCTATCCTCAAATCTGCATCTGGTGATGAGCCCTTATTCTTTTTTTTTTTGAGTTGGAGTCTCACTCTGTCGCCCAGACTGGAGTGCAGTGGCCGCTCCCGGCCACCGCAGCCTCGACCTGCTGGGCTCTGGCGATCCTTCCGCCTCAGCCTTCCAAGTGGCCGGAATTACAGGCATGCGCTACCATGCCCGGCTGATTTTTTTATTTATTGTAGAGATGAGGTCTCGCTGCCCAGGTGGGTCTCGAACCCGCGGGCTCAGGCAATCTACTCACCTCAGCCTCCCAAAGGCATGGGATTACAGGCTGAGTCACCGAGCCCAGCTGAGCCCCTTATTCTTTTTATCATTCTTCTTACTTCTCTTTAAACCCCAATGGACCCTGGAATTGACCTGTGTTGATTATGCATAGACATTTGAAGAAACTTGAAGTCTGTTGGAAGCTGGGATAATGAGTAAACTAGGGTTTCCTGAATCCTGAGCATTCTTGTGCAGGGATTGGAATGGGGGCTTAGTTATGGCTCCTCTTCTGACTTCCGTGTGACCCTGCTCTGTTCCTTAGACCTGAGATAAGGGTTAGACTAGATCTAGCCACAATTGTATGCTGTTCCAGATTGAATAGTGCATATTCTCTGATATATTCACCCAAGATATCTTTTTCTGAGGATTCAGTCCTAAAAATGCTCCTAGGAGCCACGGGCCCAGGCCCAAGAATTACAAGGAAATATATTGGGGCAGATGCTCAGCAAACCAAAAACCCCCAAGCTAAAATTAGCACCTGGATACTTCATGCTGCTCCCAAAAAGCATTTTAATCAAAGTCCAGCCCTGATTCTTTTATAGGACAGAAGATGCCCTCGATGGATCGTAAATCAATCTTGTCTCCATGCTTAGCTCAGCAGCACGGCCCTGCCCCGAGGTCTGGCTAGGAAGATGTTCTAGCTCTGCTCCCCTCAGAGATGGCCCTTTCCGTTCAGTTTCTCCCCCAGCATGAACTCAGTAGATGCCCTTTTGGAGAAAGTGAGATTAGGATCACTGGCTCTCAGACCTCACAGATCGTCTTCCTGAGGCATGAGGCTGGCCCAGACCTGGGGAATAAACCTTTTTGACCTCCGTGGGATCTGGCTGTGAGAGAATCCCAAAATAACAATCTGAGTGTTTATCTTGGGCTGCCTTCTCTCCAGGGATCTCCAAACACTTGATAAATCTGATCCAGTGCCGAGGACAGGTGGTCAGACAGTCTCTGGGAGATGGAGAAATGATGGGTCCCTGCTGGAGGCTGCAGGGTGATGGAAAATTTCTTTCTTCTGCCATCTTCATCACTTACACCCTAGCCAGAAACTACAGAGATTAACTCAGGTCACCCAGTGCTGCTTTTAACCCTTTGTGGGTATATAGGCCCTGCTTTGCTGGGGTAGACCCTGGTCAGTATTTACCTTGTTGGCCTACATCTCTGGTTGCGACAAGTTTTGCCTTTTTCTGCAGTTCATGCTCTTGTCTCATTCTTGGAGGTTCTAGATGGAAATGCAAGCCTTGGTCACTCAGTGGAGTTCTAAATCACTTCTGCAAGCCCAGACTGAGCTAGACAGTATACACACCCATGGGACCCAGGATAACGGATGTGACTGGAGTCCAAGCCTCCAGTGAAAGTTGGTAGTGTTCCTTTCTGTTTGGTGACCTGTACCCCTTTCCATTTAAGGAGGAGAACTAAAGATTTTTAACTTACATCTTGGCCTATGACAGTTTGGGGGCACAACTTCACTGAGATATTGCAGAGACCAAGAACCTTCCTTCTCTCCTCCACTTGAATTAGGGACTTGTTTTTTTGGTGTTATTTATACAGTGACCTGATTTTTCAAAATTGTAGAAACCATAGCTCCCTTATTTCTTTAGAATTACTTAAAAAATAATGGCTAACTTTATCAAGTGCCTCCTAATTGCCAAGTACAGGCATAAAGCGGTTTATATCCTTGACCTAACTTCATGGCAAGCTCATGTCACTAATAAGGAAACTAAGGCGGAGAAGAAAGTGTCCACAGTTATATTGTGGACTTGCCACTGGCGGAACAGAAACGGGCCCCTGGGTCTGTGTGATCCAAATTGGTGCTTTTCCTTTTGTCCTTTACTGTTTGTTGGTCACTGCCAGCTTTCTGCATATCTACTCACAGTGCTGCTTCTTTCTCATGTTACAGAGCCATCTGGAGCCCAAGGCTGCCCACCCTGTATCTCCTGCCACTGCCCTTGGCCTGTGCACATACCCTGTGCTGATTCTCTGCCTAGGAGAGGAACATGCAGCTGGAGATCAAAGTGGCCCTGAACTTCATCATCTCCTACCTGTACAACAAGCTGCCCCGGCGCCGGGCAGACCTGTTTGGAGAGGAGCTAGAGAGGCTTTTGAAAAAGAAATATGAAGGCCACTGGTACCCTGACAAGCCACTGAAGGGCTCTGGCTTCCGCTGCGTCCACATTGGAGAGATGGTGGATCCTGTGGTAGAGCTGGCCGCCAAGCGGAGTGGCCTGGCAGTAGAGGATGTGCGTGCTAATGTGCCTGAGGAGCTGAGTGTCTGGATTGACCCTTTTGAGGTGTCCTACCAGATTGGTGAGAAGGGAGCTGTGAAAGTGTTGTACCTGGATGACAATGAGGGCTGTGGTGTCCCGGAGCTGGACAAGGAGATCAAGAGCAGCTTCAACCCTGACGCGCAGGTGTTTGTGCCCATTGGCAGCCAGGACAGCTCCCTGTCCAACTCCCCATCGCCGTCCTTTGGCCAGTCACCCAGCCCCACCTTCATCCCCCGCTCTGCCCAGCCCATCACCTTCACCACCGCCTCCTTTGCTGCCACCAAATTTGGCTCCACCAAGATGAAGAAGGGTGGTGGGGCAGCAAATGGTGCAGGTGTAGCCAGTGGTGGGGCCGGTGGCCAGCAGCCACCACAGCAGCCTCGCATGGCCCGCTCGCCCACCAACAACCTGCTGAAGCACAAGAGCCTCTCTTTGTCTATGCATTCACTGAACTTCATCACGGCCAACCCGGCCCCTCAATCCCAGCTCTCACCCAATGCCAAGGAGTTCGTGTACAATGGCGGCGGCTCACCCAACCTCTTCTTTGATGGGGCGGATGGCCAGGGCAGTGGCACTCCAGCCCCTTTTGGGGGCAGTGGGGCTGGTACCTGCAACAGCAGCAGCTTCGACATGGCCCAGGTATTTGGAGGGGGCACCAACAGCCTCTTCCTGGAGAAGACGCCCTTTGTGGAAGGCCTCAGCTACAACCTGAACACCATGCAGTATCCCAGCCAGCCCTTCCAGCCTGTTGTGCTGGCCAACTGACCATCCACTTGCCCATGGGGCCAGGAGCACCCAAGACCACAGAAAGGAAAAAGGAAAAGAAAGGCCAAAAAAAAAGAGGAAAAGAAAAATATACAAAAAGATTTCCAATCTTCTCATTCTCACTTCTAGAAAAAAGATCCAGCCCAGGCATGGATGGGAGGGGGCTCCCAAAGCACCAAAGCGTGTTTAACTCAACCCCCCTACTGTTTGCCTGCCTGCCTGCCTGTGATTTACTTGGTTGGTTTGGGTTTTATATTTCTTTTTCTTTTTCTTTTTTACATGTAGTTTTCTATATAACATCTTTAATTAGTGGCTTCCTGTGCTAAGAATGGTCCAGATGTGAATTGCTGCTCCCTGTTCCTCCCTCCCTCCACACTCCTGGTTTAGGATTGGTGTGTCCAAGCTTGTAGGGAAGGAAGAACTGCAGCTGAAGCCTGACCCTCCCTGGAATAGGGAGCGGCTGGCCCGTGTCACTGCCTCTATTACCCAGCTTTCCTTGCACTCAAAGCCATCCAACCTCAGCAGGGCCTCTCAGGCCCTGCCACCCAAATAGGTGTGACCCTGGCCCCTATTCCCTTTCAGGCTGGGCCACAGGGAGCTGCCAGCTGGCAGCTTGACACCTTCCCCCTAGAGCTGATGTCTGTGACTACAGGGAGGTTAGCACTATGTCTAATTCAATTCCTTTCATCTCTGTCCTGTGGCCCCACCCCACTATCCCCTCCTAGTCCAGACCATCATCATGGCCCTGGAAACCTGGCCGCTGATAACATGTGGCCTCTCTTTCTCTCATGCAGCCCCTTCTTCCCTGGGCCGGAGGAGGTTGTGAGTAGAGAGGTGGGGTGTGTGTGTGTGTGTGTGTGTGTGTGTGGTTTGCTGTCCTTTTTTTAAAGGATTCCAAGCCATGTGAACCTTCCCCTCTGGATGTGATTCTGGGTTGCAGCAAGTGCTTATTTATGTGTGAGACTGGGAATGGGTCTGGGGCAGTTGTCAGTCCTTTTATTGGGCAGTACACATGGTGGGTGACGCTGCAGCTGAGCATAAGATACTCCAGGGGGAAAGCACTGCAGAAAGAACTGGTTTCCAGACTGTGGAGGGATCTGCACTTTTGTTTCTGACCAAAAAAACACAAGAAACCACAGAATAGGTTAGCTCTCTGAAGGGCAGAGGCAATACTCAAGCCTCTGATGCTTCTGAGAAGTCGCTGGACCTCATCCCTCCTGTTATGTGACCTTTGCCTAGGGAGGAGCCGCTCCCCTGAGCAGCCTTGGTGATGGTAGGGAACCGGGAGGCAGGATGAGATTTTGGAGTCAGTGTCTATAGTGGGCAGTACTGAGCCTTGAGTTGAGACTTTTTGGTCTTTTGGTTGTAGATGTTATTTGAAGATGTTTGTGCCCCTGCCTCACTGAGAGCTGCTTGGTACTTCTTGCCATACCTATGCCCTCTTACTGTCTGACCCAGCTCCACTGGACCTTGATGCTGTGAGAAGTGGTGACCTGGGCAAACCTGGCTGCCTGGTCACCCAGCCAACCCAGCCATCCCAGCCGATGTACTTGGATTGTAGAAGAGCATTTGCTCCCCTGCCTCTGCTGGAAGAGCAGTTGTTGCTCTAGCCCTAGGGGGCCCAGTGAATGTGGAGGGGAGCCGGGAGCAGAGTAGTGAACTTTTATTCCTTTGGCAAGTGGGGCACTTGACACCAGGGTCCCATCACCAGAAAGCACCAAACCCCCTGGCACCCCACCCCACCTCTTCCCCCCCAGGGGCCCCAAGTGGGCAACTGCTGTGGCAGTGGGTCCGGCCCAGACAGACACTGCCAGCATTCTCTCCCTACAGTGGGCACCAGCTCTACCTCCCTCAGTGGGCAATGCCCTGGCTTCTTGGCCTAGCACCATCTGTTTCCCTAGACTTCTCAGGGGCCAGCCCAGCCTGGGCCACCCTCTTCCTCATCCTTGGCCCCAATACAGGTGACAGGCCCAGCAGATAGCTTCTCTCTGGGAAAGGTTGGATGCTGCCTTATCCCCGCTGCTGCCCTGAACCCCTCCTCCCACGCTCACACAGAGGCACTCTCCCACACCCAGGTTGGCTTGTTTCTCACCATATACAGGGAGGAGGGGAAGACCAACCCCTTCGTGTCTTTTGAAATACGAAGAAAAATGTGTATTCAGGAGCATGACTCCACTGCTGGGCTCTTGGGCCCAGTTCAGTCTGTCTTGTCTCAAATCTAGGCATTTTGCTTCAATTTTATTTTTTTTAAGACGACAAAAACAGAAATCTGCACTAATTTACCTGGTTTCGTAGGAAAACTTTTTTTTTTATTTTTTACATTTTTTGGTGTCTGTTTGTATTGAATAATTTGCTACATTTGTAAAATGTAAGAGGTATATATAATATATGTATATTTCTAACGTAAAAAACGTAATTTTTTTCTTTTCAAGATTTTTTCTTAAAAAAGAGGAGAGAAACAGATATTTTTTCAGGAAAACAAACTTTAAAATAAAAAAAGAGGAGAATAAAACCTTTTCCTCCCCTTTCCCCACCCTCTCTGTCTGTCCCTCTTTCCCAGGATGAAATCAAAAGGTGGATTATCTTGTGACGAATGTAAACTGTTACTCCAGAATGATGTCTTTTTCTCAATGCAGTGAGCTATGGATTCTCCGGTTTTTTCCCCTAGGGATGGGAAGGGGGGCATTGAGCAAAGTGGAGAGGAGCCGGGGGAGCAGGGTAATGAACTTTTTTTCTTTAGTGAAGGAGGAATACAATCAAGCATTTTGTATTCAGACTGTTGTGCAATATTTTGGAATGGGACATTGGTGTGTTTAGAGATTTTAGTTTAAAAACAAAACAAAAAGATTGATCAAATCTGTACAGTTTATATTGTTCCAGATTTTTTTAAGTTTGTATTAAAAGCATGATATATAATAGCCTTCTGCTTGCTCCTGGCTTGTCTTGGTTCTGGGGATTCCTTTTGGGATGGAGAAAATGAGAATGGCCCAGCCCCAATAGGCTCCAAGAAATAATTAACCATCCTCACAGTGACTGAACCCTGGATGGACATAATTTTTGTCCTGGTGCCCCTTTTTGACCACATATCCATCCTATCAATACAGGACACCTAAATGTGCCCACTGTTATGGTCCTTTCCCACACTAGAAACAGGTCCCATGGGATTAAGAACTGCCCCAGAAGGGCGGGGCGTGGTGGCTCACACCTATAATCCCAGCACTTTGGGAGGCTGAGGTGAGAAGATTCCCTGAGCCCACAGGATCAAGACCAGCCTGAGCAACTTGGCGAGACCTCATCTCTACAATAAATCAAAAAATTAGCTGGGTATGGTGGTGCGTGCCTGTAGCCAGCTACTTGGAAGGCTGAGGCGGAAGGATTGCCTGAGCCCAGCAGGTCAAGGCTGCAGTGGCCATAAGCGTGCCACTGCACTCCAGCTGGGTAACAGAGTGAGACTCCAACTCAAAAAAAAAAAAAAAAAAAAGGAACTGCCCCAGTTCCCTCAACCAGCAGGTGATAGAGGCAAGGCCAGAAGCAGAGCCTTAAGAGCATGATTTTTAGAAACTGCCTGTTCCTTGGAGGAGGAATAAATCAAGTCAGTCTCCAGCCCACTCTAGATCTAGTATTTGTCCATCCCAAACCACTAGATCCTTAGAAATGGAGAAAGATCAGAGGAGCTCACCTAAGCCAGGTTCTGGCCAAAAACACAGTGTTTGGATTTTCAACCCTTTACTTGGAACTACTTTAGGGATGAGACAGCCTGGTTCAGAGAAAGGCATCCTTTTGCCATCACCATCAGCCAATTTCCTTGGGAGCTCAGGCATCTCTTCCCTTAACAGTGCCCTGGCCATGCTTTCCCCTTGCCAGGGCCAGTGCCCATTCATGCTGCCCCTCCAGGAGGGAGAGACACCATGTTGGGCCATCTCCCTGCCACTGAGCACTTCACATCTTCACATCAGTGCCCCAACAAGGGGCTGAAGTGGATGCAGGTGTTTGTTGAATCTTTATCTCACCCTCACATCAACCTGGTGATAGAAGGATAGCTCCATTTTACACTTGCGAAATGGGATCCAAGTTAGATTACCTGCCCACATTCACAGACCTACTAAGTAGGAAAGCTGAAATTTTGACTCATCTGATTTTTTCATTTATTCATTCAGTGATATTGAGCACAGTATCAGGTCACTGTCCATTGGAGAACAAATCTGGCAGTGCCTACCTTTCCAGAGCTAATGTCTCACAAGTATTTAACAGTTGTGATATCTGCTATGGAAGAGTGGCATGACCTAGGGCAGGGGGGTGGGAGTTACCTTGCCACTTCCATTGCCACCTCTAGGCTGGGGCAGAGGGCAAGCATCTTTTTTTTTTTTTTTTTTGAGTAGGAGTCACTGACACCTAGGCTGGAATGCAGTGGCACACTCATGGCCACTGCAGCCTTGGCCTACTGGGCTCAGGCAGTCCTTCTGCCTCAGCCTTCCAAGTAGCTGGAACTACAGGTGCGTGCCACCACACCTGCCTAATTATTTCTTGTAGAGACAAGATCTCCCCAAGTTGCCTAGGCTGGTCTTAAACCCCTAGGCTCAGGCAATCTCCTCGCCTCTGCCTCTCAAAGTGCTGGGATCACAGGCATCAGTCACCACGCCCAGCAGCAAGCAGCTCTTCTGGGGCATCAGCAGTGCAGAGGTCTCCTCAGGCCCCTCATTCCTCAAGCAGGCCCACACTGAACTCTCCCCCATCCAACCATGTGAACTAGAAACTCAGGCTAGACATCCAACTCTGGACGTGTCCCAGGAACCTTGATATCCATCCTCCTCCATGGGCCACTTCCACTCCACAGACCCTGCTGAGCAGAGAGAAGCCCCAGCGCAGTTGCCAAATACAAGGCTGCTTCCAGGGGTCTCACTTTTCTCTGTCCTAATGGAGAAACCCAGCCCAGCCCTGTGTACAGGCTGCCCACTCAGCTGTGGGCCCCAGGGCAGAGGTGGGATGGCCCTCACTCATTCAATTCTATTTACATTAATATAAACACAGAAGATGCTCATTATCACCTGCTTCCATTCCCTATCATGCCCTTAGACAGTAGAAGGTCTTGGGCAAGGCCCAGCTCAGAAGCCAAGACTTATCTTCCTGGCCTGTCCCTCTGGCTGAAGGTATGGACGCTACAGATTTGATCAAAGCTCCACATTCTCCATGACACTGACACAGAAATTACTCATTCGTACATTCATGCCTCCATTTATTCAGCAAATGCTCATTGGCTATGAAGAAGTGGAGTGGGAAACCTAAAGGGGTAAAGGGTTGCATGGGCCCCTGCTTTGCAGCAGGAGGAAGAAAAAATATTCTGGTAGACTCAGAGTTTCTCCTAAAAAGGCTCATTTATTCACTTGACAAACCATCCATGAGCATCCACTCTCTGCCCTGGTGGGAAAGCAATTTCAGGACAGATAAGTACAGGGGAACTGGGAGCCAGAGATTCCAGGTTCCTTGGAGCAAGTGAAGAAAGAGTACAGGGCAACCCCCTCTGGTCCCCTCCCACTGTGGGAGCTTTTCTGTCCTCTTAATAAATCCTGCTAAACCGGGCTCGGTGGCTCAGCCTGTAATCCCACGCCTTGGGAGGCTGAGGTGAGTGGATTGCCTGAGCCCGCGGGTTCGAGACCCGCCTGGGCAACTTGGCAAGCCCTCATCTCTACAATAAATCAAAAACTAGCCGGGCGTGGGAGCGCGCGCCTGTAGTTCCAGCTACTTGGAAGGCTGAGGCGGAAGAATCGCTGGAGCCCAGGAGGTTGATGCTGGGGTAGCCATAAGCACGCGTGTCACCACAGCCCAGCCTGGGGGACACAGTGAGACTCCAACTCAAACCAAAAAAAAAAGAGTAGCCAGGCTTGGTGGCTCAGCCTGTAATCCCGCGCCTTTGGGAGGCTGAGGTGAGTGGATTGCCTGAGCCCGGAGGTTCGAGACCCGCCTGGGCAGCAAGACCTCATCTCTACAATAAATCAAAAAAAAAAAAATCAGCTG